CGTGATAATTGCTCACCCGCGCCCTCCCCACGTGACTGATTCTCCTGCCCAGGGAAAATCGCAATAAGGAATAGGGCACCGGGAGGTCATTGTGTTTGTTGATGGACTGCGGGCCTGAGAACCATGACTCGAGCAGCTCGCGTCTCACGCGGTTGTCACCCCTTGCGAGGATTTCGGCCTCTTGAAATTTGAAATTATGGCCGGGTCCCGTCGAGTGTGCCGCCACCTGAGAGTTAGCGTCTCCCCGCCTCACTGCCGCTGCGTGCTCGTCAAGTTGCGTACGGAGTAATCTCCCAGTTTCTCCGACATAATTGCTTTGTCCGCAACTACACCAGATCCGGTAAACGACTCCAGACGTTTCCTGCCGTGGCAGCGGGTCTTTTGGCCTCATTACTTGGCGCCTAATGGTTGCTTCCGGCCTGTTTGCAACCCCAACTCCAAGTGGAGTGAGAAGACGACTGACGGTTTCCGAGACGTTCTTCACGTAGGGAAGAGCCCGCCAAAATTTGGGGCTAGCTGGATTTGGTCTCTGGTGTCCTTTTCGTATGCACTGGTTGACAAAGTTGCGCGGGTAGCCATTGGCTCTCATTACCAGTCGAAGATATTGTAATTCAGCAACCTTGTCTTCCATTTCACTGCAGTGCGTCTCAACACGCCGGTATAGCGCCCTTACGCAACTGCGTTTGTGACTGATCGGGTGGTTGCTGGAAGCGCGTACCTGTCTGTGTCAGATCTGATGGCTCTCCACAGATTAACACCGTCAACAAACATGATGGCGCTGCATCCTAGGCCATCGACGCAGTCGTTAATGTAAACCAGGAATAGTAACGGTCCTAAGACGGAGCCCTGTGGGACACCGCTTGGAACGGGAGTAGGAGTTGACCTTTAGGCCTCGACGCAACCGGTTTGTGACCGCCCGTTAAGAAAAATGATTAGCGAGAGGTGAAAAAATCTCCACTTAAAATCTAAATGATTGGAGTAATTTTGCAGGCGAAAAAGCCCCTCGCTAAAAAATAATACCAGATAATTGCGGACATTACTGGCCTGCATTTGGCGGTATATAACGGATTATAATCGGACATCGTCAGGGCAGAAATAAATGTCAGCCTTGATTAAAATCGGACATCATCAAGGCAGAAATAAATGCCAGCCTTGAGAGGTACGTATGCCAGTCGGACAGGGCTGGTATGCATGTGGTATTGTACACGCGATTTAGAACTGACACCGTCAGGGCAGGATTGGTACGCCGGATAAGACTATTCGCGTCAAAGAGGCCAGACGAGAGGAACCCAGACGAGATCGGCCACAGTACGCTTAGAGCCCAGTCGAGGTGTGGGCAAGGGAGGTACGACCAAACTACTAGTAGACGGCGAATACTGAGGGTTCCGCCGTGAGTGTCGACAGACCGCATGAGGTCGAAATGCGGGAGATGACACCAAGAACCGCGAAAATCGTCGCTGTATATGGCATTGTATAACGGATTTCATGAATGGGTAAGTAGGCGGGTCAGACATGACTGACCTGTATGTGGCCTTGAGTAAAAGGTTCAAAACGGGTATCATCAAGGCAGACTTCACATGCCGGTTGAGGCCATTCATGTCAAAGTGGCGAATTGAAGGCCGGTCTCGAGGCGATAGGAACCCAGATGCGATCGGTTACGTTCATCCGAGTCCATCCAAGGAGGAGGCAAGGGAGATGCGACCAGATTACTATCATATGGCGAATACAGAAGGCTTCGCCAAGAGATTACAGGGGCGGATCTTCAGCTCTTCGATCTTCGAGAACATGATCTTCGCATTGATGTGTTTAGATTTTAATTTCTATTATGCCTAAGATTTGGTTACGATTCGGCTCGGACCGACAGATAATACGTGCGAGTGCGCGATCATTCGAATCGGAGCAGTCCAAAGGAAAAGTGGCGGAGAGTTATTTTATAAAACTAAGTAGCCAAGTTCCCTGAGTCTCTTTTTCATTTCAAAAATAATAAAAAATTAAAAGATATTATTAGACGCGTTCCAGCCTTCCTGTTGGTGAGTAGTCCGGTTGAAAAAAAAATACCTGATTTCGAGCCGTTTATCCCAACCCGTCTGAGGAGAATGAGCCTAGCTTTCTCACTTCTGACAAGAAAACTTTAACAGATGGGGACGTGTTGATTGCGATAAACTGTCTGTTCGTTTTCCAAGGTGGGAGGTTTCGATCACTTCATGCACTTTAATGGGTCCCAAAATACTATAAAGTAGGCCTCGGCAGAGTGTTAGGTCTTCCAAAACCCTTTCCTTTGCAGTGTTTACACTTGATCCTGGGAGCCCCCGGATAGAGACACTACTCTCTGACATTTTTTCTATCGGGGTGGCGTTCCCTTGTAACGCCCGACGACCGGGGTAGGGTTATTTGAATGGAGAAACACTTTTTGGTGCGCGGAGCTAGGATGGAGGTGGCGTAGCCGCATGTTGGTGAAGATGGCCGGTGTCCCGTCCTCTCACTTCCGCCGATCCCTCTTCCCGCAACGTACCGTGACTCTCGTATCTTTCTCCCTCTCTCTGGGTCAGCACCACCCTCGACCCTTCCCTTCACTTGCCCACAGCGTCGCATTCCCCACCGGTTAAGTAGCTGGCATGTCGGTATGGCCTCTCCATCGAGACAGGTTACTCCACAGTTGTAACTCGTTCTGTTTGTAATATTAACTATTATTATACGTCTTTCCGATTCCCATCTCTGTCCGTTATACCTTCTCGCCTACTTGAGGTTACTTATTACTTTATGTGCGAATGAGTATCATGACTTACTAACAACCTTATTCGGATAAACGTTAGCCCGGATCTCTTTCCAGTGCTTCGCTACTTGATTGTGGGCTACCCCTGACTTCCACGGCCGCTACACCCTAAATGGGGCAACACTTTGCTGCTATTTATTGGTTATGGCGGAGCATACGCTCTTCTGAGATTTGTTTGTTCGACTCCTGTTTGGACAATCTTATAAGAAGCATCTGGCACAGAAGACTGAATATAAATCTGTTGTTTCGATGAATAAATAAATGTCACCACTCCTACTGGGTCTACAAAATTCGAAATTTTTCCGACCTTCGTTAGGAGTTTCAGGACCCACGGCGTTTATCGTGAGGAACGGGACGGCTGTCAGCATCTCTGGTTCGGGTGCTTAATGAAGAATCTATCCTAATTAGCTGTTCTCTTTCCTTGGCCTTTTCACTGCCGGATATCTTGTGCCCTGGATTTTTTGGTTTTTCGCTATTGTCTTTTATCCTTCGAGAACTGCCGTAACCGCTACAGAAAGCGCTACTGACGTATCCATTGTGTCAGGCTTCTTTGTCCTACTTCTAGTTACGTGTCCAGAGGAGACATTTATATCGTTAATTTTGTCTTAACTACATTTCAGCCGAGTTTTCATCTTTCAAATCTCTTCCTCAAGTGGGTTAATCTCGGCGGCCAAATCTGGCATCCACTGCAACATCTCTCTACATGTGATGCGTTTTTGCAATCAGGGCGACAATGCAATATAGCCCGTCGTCTTGGTACGGTGGTTGATGGTTTGGCTCGGTGCACGGAAAAGCGTGGTCTTTTGACAAACCCCTCACTCTGACATATCATTTTTTGCGACAGTGCACACATGAGTCTTGCTGAGAGGTTATAAAAAAGTAACAGTCTGCGGGAATAAATAGACATTGTTATGGCACACACGTAGAAGGGAATTGTGCTCCTGTGAGGTTGGTCGAACTATTTCGAGAACGAACGGTCTGGGAGACGTTTTAAAACTAGGCCGATTTTAATAAATGTTGTGTCCGGATCTGAGCAGCGAGAAGACCTTAGCCCTAAGTGGGGGTGTTGCGCTTAGCCATAAAATAGTGACTAGGAAAAGAATAGAATAAATGGGGAGGCGAACCGTCATGCAAACTCGAGAAAAACAACATCCTCTCTGTACATGTTTGTTACAAAATGCTAGAGTCCTTTAAGGTGGTTCCCAAAACTTCCAGGACGGTCATTATCGATAGTACTTGTTGTCCAAACGAATTTTCATCCAGCAAGGTGTGGCTGAGAGGTAGGTTCCAGGTGTGTAGTGTTTTACTAGACAAAATCATGCGCATATAAGAGATTTAAGAACCATCGCATCAAACGGCAGCGTAAGTAGAACACGTGTTGCCACAAATGAAAACCGGTTTTTTTCACACACTTCAGCCTATTCGAGCCAGAGTACAGAAGATTTCAGATGTACGCGAAAATGCGGGGAGAAAAATCGATAGTGACTCAAAATTACAATCCCCCTTTTTATGTTCCTCTTAATGGTCATGCTTTGCCTCCCTGTCCAAACTCACCCATTCCCAGGTTTCATCTCAGCGCACCGCACTCAGACTTAGAACAATGCCTGCACAGCTCTGTAAGGAAGGGTGTTCTACTATTTCGGAATCTGTCGTTATGGTAATCAACACGAAGGCCCAGAATGTTTAGCCTCTGGCAAGCACCGGTAATCTACGGGCGAACCGTGAACAAGGAACTTACTTAAACCTGTTGACGTGGGCCAATAAAAATCGCAGTCACTTTGGCTAAAGGTTGTAAGAACCGAAAAGGCAAGTTTGTTTTAAAAGAGAGGAAGAACGGGCGAGCGGGAAAAGAAAGGAGGCGGGAGGTTTCGACGGTGGTGCCGTGACGGGTCTACCATCTCCTTGGCATCAATTGACTTATTTTTGGGCTGCTCATACTCCCCTTTGCCCTCAAAGTGAGGATTGTTTAGGGAGGTGTAGCCTTCATCGGAGCCGGCGACAGGTAAAGTGGGAGTTTGGCTGTTTGGCGGCCGAGGAGGAATTGTGAGGTATTCCGCGTATGCGTATTCCGTTGGCATTGATCTGACCAGAAGATCATCAGCAACCTCTCCAGGCCTCCTGACTGGTATGAAGAAAGTAAGAAACTCCCAGGATCTTCTCTCGTTTGCACAAGCTGCCACGCCTGCCGTTGTCGCTGCACACTTCGCCGCCGCAGTCGCGGACGTAGACGGCTGTCGTAGGGGACCACGGTAGACGTGGTGACTTTCTCGCAGACCACCTATTCCTGTTTCCTGAGCTTTTAAACTTTCCAGCTTTAGGTTACTTAGCAGTACTTCACCAGATTCGCGTGACTGTTGCTGCTGATGGAGACTGTGCAGTGACCAGGTGCCCATGCGAGGCACTCGCGGACGTTTTGGGACCGCGGCAGCGGCGGTAGCAACAGTGATCACCTGAGATGGTGGTGCCTTTTCGGCGTTGCTCCGGTCGTGCAGGAGACTAGAAGAGAGTGGAACCGGCGCAGGACGTGGACGAATCTGCTGACTCTGCGTCTCCGCCTCGTCTGACAGTGGTGGCAGCGCAACGACCGTGCCCACAACCCCTGAACATGTCTGGCAACAAAATAAATCCAACGCGCACCGTCGACATACCACCCTACGATGGTTCCGAGTCCTTCACGGTGTGGCTAAGACGCGCGAAGTTCTATTTGCGGGAGATCGCAGAAGCCGACAGGCCCTGGACGTTACTCAAGGCCCTCGCGCCTAGACAGTTGGATAAGGCGCTCGACGCGGGTCTCGACGCCGATCTTCCCTTTGACGCGCTTTGCCAACGCCTGGCTAACCTGTTCAGCCATACCTACTCCTTCGGCGACGCAATGGAACAGTTGCAGAAACGGAGGTTGAACCAAGAGGAAACCCTTAACCAGCTGGTGGAGGATCTGCAACGCCTGACAACGGTGGCCTTTCCCTCTTTGGGCTCTGCATATAAGGATAACGCCGTACTCTATTATTTTATTAAAGCGCTGCCGACATCCGACCTTTCACGGTCACTGTTGTTGCAGCCGCCAGACAGTTTACAAGAGGCCGTCACCAGGGCCGAACGCTACCTGCGATTGTGCCCTCCAACCTCCCGTCCCCTTCCTCCTGAAGATGCACACGGCCGAGATGCCCACCCTACGTCCGCGGGCCCAGGTACCTTCTATCCCCCACGACGTTTCAGCGGCCAAACACGACCACCCTTCATTCGTCGAGGATTACCGTTTCGCCGGCCAGGTGGACAAATGCTTCCCAGAAACCACATCTGCACCTGTCAAAGGCCAACGGGTACGGTCTCTATTACTTCTTGCACCAGCTCTACTTTATCAGTCACCCCTTTTTATGCCACAGTAACCGTAGCTGGTCAGACTGTAAAGGCGTTGATCGATACGGGAGCGACGGTATCCCTAGTTAACCCACGGGTCTTACAACCGGGTATACAGCGCCAGCGTAATGACATTCACCACCCAGGGAGATTGACAACGGCCGACGGATCACGCTTAATACACCATGGGACCGTGCCGCTCACCGTGACGCTCCCCTATTTCACAGCCGAACATAGTTTTATCATAACACCCCATCTCACGTGGGACATACTCCTCGGGACTGATTTCCTCGCGCGTTACGAATGCCACATTGACGTACGGAATAGGCGAGTTGAGTTCCGACATACCGACGCGGAAGGCCCGGCTAAACCCCAGATCGTAGGCGAAACGGCCGCCTGTGCCGCAATCCAAGAGGCAGTTAAAATTCCTCCGACGTCTATTGACGATATACTACCCACGACAGATCGGGCCGATGTAGAGACAGAGACACCTAAACGGATGTTACTTGGGTTTCACGATGTCTTTGCGTGGGACGAGTACACTCTGGGCAGAACCAGTTGTATACGACACGCTATTGAAACCGGCACAGCGAAACCAATTTGGCAACCGCCACGGCGCATCCCAGCCCATTTG